GATAAGGGGGAATGAAGGAGAATAGATTAGAGGTTTTGTAGTAAAACTCAATGTTGGAACTATAAAGGAAGCAGAAGCTTGGGGGACATTGGAAGGTCTTTCCCTATGTTGGGATCTGGGGTTCAAGAAAATTGAAGTAGAGAGTGATGACGCAACTCTAATTTTTGATCTGACCACGAAGGGGAGAATCTCTGGGTGCTACCTTATCAAGGAAGATTGAGGAGCTCATTGACCGTAACTGGGAAATAAACTTCATGTACGTCTAGAGGGAAGGAAACCGAAGCACTGATGCTCTAGCCTCCTTATGCTGGAAACAGGGGGAAATAAGCAAGGTACTAAAAATTGGACCGGTGAGTGAACCGGTCAAGACAGTGGGTCAAGGGTTAGCGAGTTAGATCGGGGTCAGACCGGAATCAAACCGGTAATAATTAAAATAATATAATTTAATTAAAATTTATAAATATATCCTTATTTTAATTATGATTTATTTTCTTTCCTTCTTCAACACAACAAGTCTTTTCTCTTTCTTTCTTTTTTCACACGCAACAATCAATATGATTGACAGGATTGACAAATTTTTATCTCTCCCCTCCATTAATACCTTTTCTGACTTTCTCTTTCCCTAATAAAAGTAATAATGAATTAACAATAATCACTTTCCTGATTCCTCCTTGGGTCATTTCCTCAATCGAAGCCCATTTGCAGTCGCGTCTTCGGATTTCTTCAAACCAGAGAGGAGCAGCCCGCGAGCGTCTTCGGATTTCCTCAAACAAGAGAGGAGCACCTGCCGGCAAATCTCAACTCATCCACAAGCTAGAAGGAGTGCACCTTAAGGCTTGGACTTTCAGCAGCCTCCATGACTTCTCCTTGGCCAGATCTGATCGGTCCCTCTTCTTTGAACTTAACATCGTCTGCGTCTGCAATGGTTGAAGAGGGAGCACAAGCAAGCAGCCATTTTGTATGATAGTGGCAGGTAAGGAGAACAGCGGCGAGATCCGGCGACTGAGTTTTCCTTTCCCCTTCTTTGTAAAATAAACCGGTAACCCGTCTAGCCTAGCGGGTTATCCGGGTTATTCCCGGGTTACCCCGGTTTGGACCGAGTTACACCGGTTTAGTTGTTCTCCGGTTTTTGTGATCACCCGGACCAGACAGGCGACCGGTTCGCCGGTTTCCGGTCTGAACCGGCCGGTCCGGTCTTTAATTCCATGGAAATAAGAACTATTTGGATCCAACCACCCGACGAAGTTCAAGAAGCTTTGAAGAATGATCTGTTAGGAAGTGACGAATACCGCCACGTGTACCCTCACCAGTTTGTTTAGTTAGTGTCTATTAGGCGTTTGCCTCTCTTGTCACCCAAGAAAAAAAAAATATTACATTTGAAAAGCAAATAACAACATATTTTTATAATAATTCCTAATTTAAAATTTTGAAATTCAACAATATTTTTTTGGGATTTTTTCTTTATATTATATTGAGCCACATCAAACTAGTAGTTTAGATAATAAGATGATATGGTAGAATATGAATATATAATATGGCACCTTATCAACTCATTCGTCTATTGTAGGGTATTTTAATTTGGATATTTAAAATTTGAACTATAATCGCCAATTAATCCTCAGGGTAATAACAAATAGAAAATTATTGATTCATGCATCCATGGGAACAAGCAGGAGGCAAGAGTCTAGTTATACTTATTATCAATGACGACATGGCCACCTAAATTCTTTGCATTAATACCAGTCCATATCAGCATCATCAAAAATAAATAATTGTTTATAACAATGCAAATTTGATCAGAAGAAACAAATCAAAAAGGAAAAGAGAATAAAGTCTTCTTGTAATTAAGTCTGCATTTGTTGTATTATTATCAAGTTGCAACTACTTTCCGAATCATCCACCAAGTCAAAGCTATCTTCTTTGACTTGACAAGCACACTATATGTTTCAGTTTCCTTTGGCTTCCTTCCTTCAGAATTAAAAGAAGAAACAATTAAGCGAATTTAAACGTGCGTGTGTGTATAATTTAAACAGTTCAAATTAGATGTGTTTCTAAAACATAACCAGTGGAATATGTTTTCCGGATGCTTTTACTCGGCTTTTTAAACTTCAATTTTAATTTGAAGTCAACAATAAAATTCAGAGGCACCAACTACCAATTATAGTTTAAACAATATAAATTTATATCCTCATAGACGACTCAAAACCTATAATTATTTCGTCATACCTTTTTATTATATTGAATCTGCTAGTCTTAACACTACACATGACTTCCTCCTTCACCTAGTTTATACTCCTCCGATCCTAAATATGAGACCCATTTTGTAGTGTAATTTACACTACAAAATGGGTCTTATATTTAGGACCGGAGGGAGTAATAATCATGTTAAGATAATTACTTATCTGATATTTAATATAAGACCTATTTAACTAATTTGATTAGATTAAGGAAGTTAGGTAAGCTAGTTAATTATAAGAAATATGACATATTTTTCGTAAAACACCATAATTATTTTCTTTAATATCTTCTTTCCCTCTTCTACTTGATTATGGTTGAAGGAGATTCATAGGGGTAATTCAGAAAAAATTGATAAATATGATAAATAAATCTTATATTTAACACCAAATGAATTCAACAATTAGATCTTATATTAAAGACCGGCAGGAGGAGTATCATCTAAATGCTAGTCTCTTGTCGGACTAGAGACTGAAGGAAAAACCACCTAACGCAGGTGGTACCCAAATAGCCCGAATGCTAGTCTCTTGGTTGGAGGTAGATAAAGGAAAAAGTTAAAATTTTCGGTGTGTGGTAAAATCACCTAAAAAAAAAAAAGCCTTAATTTCTCAAAAAATCAAAGCCTCAAACACCTTCCTTACAAGTTACTATAACTGCGGAAATAACTTATTTTGAAGAACCTAAGTAAGTTCTATTTTCATAGCATTTATTTATTGTATATTTTTGAAACTGATCCTTAAAAATTGTAAATTAAAATTCAATTTAAAACATTTTTTGGTCTTTATGACTGAAAGATACAATATCTATTTAAAGACTAGTCAGTTTCTTTTTGGGAATTATAAAACTAAAATAGGCAATTTTTTTTTTTTGAATTTCTTCCCCCAGTATCTTGAGCTAAGGCCATTTTCAAGGCATATCAACGGGTTCAGACTAATCCGGAGCAGCACTTTGTGGGGCCCCAAGGATAGCTTGCCTACCACGAACACTGTTGTGTTCCCAAGTAGGATCAAACTCCTAACCTTGGTTAAGTTAGAATGACCCCCAACTAGACGATATAAGCGTTAGGTGGTAAACTAAAATAGGCAATTAATTGTGAAACTCCCAGACAAGCTAACTTTTTGAGAATTATGCTTTCTGAAAAGTTCAGAAATTTGAACAAAGTGACCCGCAAGGATTTATTTTCTCATTAATTAAGGAGTCAACACTTAACCCTAAAAAAACTTAGGGGTAGTCAATAGTTACAACGCATTTAGACAGATTAATGCAAAAGCTCATGGCAAACATTACCTAATTAAAAGTTAAATATATGTATTACAAGAACAAAACACTCTAGAAGTATAATTTTTTATGAAACAAGATCTAAAGGAATTCTTGGTGGGGCTTTCATGTATAAGAACACACTCAGACACACATCATATAATTATCATCATCAGTATATGTGGGAGAAGCTGATTCACCAGTGAATATAATAGGTCATGCGTCAATCATTGCAGCATCAAGCTATAATCTCCAGTTCTCTCCTGATTGATATAGTTGGAGAAGCTTAATTATATTATATTCTCACACACTCTGCTAAGCAAAAACTGGGCCAAACATCTGGATGGATCCCTCTTCATAAAATATTAAGTCTAAAATTAAAGCTGATATTATTGATTAATCATCATATCACTCGAAGTTTCAAAATTTTCAGAAACTGAGATCCGTGATTTATTTAATCTTAATTCCTCTTTCTTTCTTTTTACGCATACACCTAGCTAGTCTACTTTGAAATGGAATTCTTCTAAAAGAAGACCCGTAATTTTAATTGTTTTCTTTCCGCATTATCAAATCAGCTGGCATCCCAATATATATACTGTGATGCAAGAAGCTTTAATTAGCAGATCTCGAAGTCTGATGCATATATCTTTTGGCGCATAATTGCCTTTGACATTAAAGAATGGATTAAGTTGCGATCAGTACCAATTTATGGGCAAAATGGGCACAATCACATGCATTAAGCCAATTAAAAAATGTCCAACAAATCAAATGGGATACCATAAACAGTAGGGGTGGCCACGTGTTGGCTAAATGACTCATTATTGAGGAGTCCATGTTCCCCATTACTGCCTTAATTGGAATCTTATGCTATAAACAATTCTGTGATTAATTGCATTAAGCAGTTTTTAAAGCACACTACACTGCCAAGGTTGGCAAAAAACAATACCAAAGTTGGCTAAGCTAATATAATATTCTCATTAAGATATATATGCAACCTAATAAAGTCACGGAATTGAGGATTGAGTTGATGAACCACCTGTGGAATGATCATTGGCTCGCAGGCCATTTTCAAATGAACAGCGACAACCCACCCCATCTTATGTTGTTTTCATCCAGATTATGTTTGTCCTTAGATTCTCTTTTTGCCTTCAGATGACATTTTGTTTGAATATATTGTACTTAAATTTACGACCTCCGATCCGTACTTCAACTTAAGATTTTGCTTGATCCATTTGGTCCATTCTGATTGGGACGGTAAGATTGAAGCTGTCAAGCACTTCAACAAAAGAATAAATGAAGAGGGATTTTGATATTACATCGCTGATGACATCATAGTACGACAGAGAAATTCAATGGAAATTAAAATTGGATTCGAAGAAGTTGTTAATGATTAATATATATAGGTTTGAACAACCACAAGCTAGAGAGGGTGTGACTATATATAGGTATAACTAAGACTGAACAATTTAAAGCGTGACACAGACCTCGGAGGCAGAGATACATATAAGATATATCAATATTTGAGTTGAATCTTGAAGTGAAAGAAAAGTATGGTAGCCGCGATGGTTATGGGTTCAGAGAAAGCGTGGAAGAAAGGGCCTTGGACTCTGGAAGAGGATAAGCTGCTGAGTGAATATGTGAGCTTGCATGGTGAAGGAAGGTGGAGTTCAGTGGCCAAGTTTACAGGTAATATTGTATCAGTATATTTTGATTCTTCCATTGTATATCTGCCCTCCAAATCATAAGTACCCCTAATTAAAAACATAGGTGAAAATGATGAGAATGCACGTGAATGAAATTAAAGACAGTAGCTGACGTTGAATGAGTTGGGTTTCAGGGTTAAATAGGAGTGGGAAAAGTTGCAGGTTGAGGTGGGTGAACTATCTGAAGCCAGGGCTGAAGAAAGGCCACTTAACACCTCAAGAAGAAGCCATCATACTTGAAATCCATGCTATGCTGGGTAACAAGTAAGTGTTAGTCATATTTCTCTATTTCACTATATATCCCTTTTGCTTGCTCCTTATTCAGTAATGAATATGCTTATACATTATTGAACACAGGTGGTCTACAATAGCAAAATATTTGCCAGGTAGAACAGACAATGAGATTAAGAACTACTGGAGAACCCATTTCAAGAAGAAAGACAAATCCTCTCGTATTAATAAGAAGCAAGAAAAGAGAAGATCAAGAATTCTTAAACAGATGAAACAACATGAGCAGCAGCAGCAGCAACCTCAACAGTGCGATGTGCAAAGCAGCATCTCGTCTCATGCAGAATCAAACAATCAAACAAACGTTTCTGCTGGGACTGTTCTAGAGGACACCTATCATCCAGTCACCACCATGGAAGACCAAGATAATTACTTGCCTTTCATGTACCAAGATTACTTTCCCTCCCTGTGGCCTGAAAATACTGTAGAACAAGATGAAGGTTTGTGGGTTACATTATGGAACCTTGACGAAGAAATACAAGGTCACAGGGACAATCAGTTCAACCAAAATGCCATTCATCATAACCAGATTACAACTTCCTGTTTCGATGATATTTCCAACAACCTCTGCTTTGCAAAATACATGTCCGGCTGAACTGCCCGGACAATTTATGTTGTATCTGTTCTGTGATTGCAGCTATGTTATTGAGTAAATTTTCTTTCTGAACTTTTTCCCTGCACTTGTAAAATTGTAACTCAGTGAACCTAGCTAGCTAAAAGTGCTGTTCTATATGTTCATTCGGCGTCTATGTTTTCTTGCATACATGCATGTTTGTGTATTTTCACTCTTCACATCATATATATTCATGAGCTGATGACTATAACAGTGCCAAACACTGACAGATAATTAGATACATTAAACAGTCTGTAATATCTCGACCATCTGTACTGATAATTGTCCAGGCATAAACGATTGTACGTTAACAGAAACTTAGCTTAGGATATGAAGCTGGCTTCTCCATTCTCATGTTTTTCAAGTTAATAATCAAATCTGGCTATTAAACATTACGAGGCCTTGAACATTACTGCGCACGCCGGATTCCTGAGTTTACCTAACTGTATCATTGACAAAGCGCTGAAATTTTGCATGATGTTTAAATTTTTATTACCTTTAAATTTCTCACCATGATGTTTAGATCTGTAGATGCATACGAACCAATGCAGCATCATTGATACAAAAAATAAAGTACTTAAGAAATTACATCCTAAATTTTGTGTAGATGTATGAGGTTCAGTTTTATATATAGAGTATACATATGTAGAAGCGGATATTCTTTTTTTTTTTTTTTTGGCAGTAGAAGCGGATATTCTACTGTATTTATTACTTATGGAAGGAAAGCATCACTATCCCTTTTTCGCTTTGCGTTACTTATTGAGGATTTCTTGGTTATACGGAAAAACTTCGCAAACATTTTTGTCTTTCTGGGGAGTGTTATGGGTATATATTCCTTATCTTCTTGCCTTTCTCTCGTTTAATGGTTGACTCACTATTGGCAATTAAAGTGAGATGAGGCATTTACTCCGTCCACGTGTCTCTTAACGAGGTCACTGAATTCACTACGTAAAACCACAATAAGAGGCAAGGCCCAAGTTCCGAGATATGGGCTACAGAAGAGCCCAGTTCATTTTGGAAGATTACATGTAAGCCCAATAAGGCCGAGTAAATTTGGAGATCATTTCTGCGGCAAGGGAAAAAAATAATGTGGCCCATGCAGGTCTCGAACCTGCGACCTTCGCGTTATTAGCACGACGCTCTAACCAACTGAGCTAATAGGCCGTTGCGGTGGAGGCGTTAAGATAAATTATATAATGGCAAAAAGCGTGATCGTTTTCACCTCAAATAAAGCATCCCGCAAAGATTAGGGAGCGCGAGAAGATGGATAACATTACCGCCAGTGAACTTGCTGGATTTGGCGTGGGCACTCTACTCCTTTGTGCGACCATCGCGGCCCCAAAAATCGATGCTTTCTTTGCTGCCTCTCAGCGCAGGTAAACGAGTTAGTTCTTCTTTCGTCGTTTTTTCCCGCCCCATACTTTTTTCGTTTCTGCTATGACTAAACCTTGTTTGATTTCATCATATAGTACTGATTGCTGCGTCTCGAGGGCACTCTGCTCTGTTTCACCTTGTCAAATGTGGCCCCACTGTTACTGGGGTGTGACGAAGGCCTCTGGTAGTCCGTGAAGATAGTTCATGAAATAATCTAACTCATTTTTAAAACTCTGTAATTGCAGGGAATGTTTCTTATTTCCAAAATTGATGTCTATGACCGTGAACACCCTTTTAAACTTGGTGGTAGACACCCTTTTTTCTTGATCAGTAATTGATTAAGTAGATTACTGGAAGGTCAGCCTTTGATATTGACCCATTAGTCCCTCACATGAAGGCTCTGGTGTGCTTGGTTCATGGATTTGATTTTCGAAGTAATTTCAAACCTATTTACATGATGTTTGGATGTGACGAAAATATTAAAATTTCTGTTCTATACAAAATAACATGGAGACGATGCTATTTGTATACGTACGAAGGTCAAGTGTTTTCTAAGTTGGTTTCTGAAGTCTTGGAAATTAAGATATTTACGTATCTAATGTCACCTCAAGAAATTCTGATGGAACTCGTGGTAATGTTATTATGTTATCGGTAATAATCAGGAGAACTTTCGTCTTTAAGAGTCGTTGGGTTTTATTTGACCCAGAATTTAACTGTTGTTTCTTTTCAATCCATGATATGTGGCCATGTACTAAACAAAACATATCTGTTCAATCTAGTAGCATTTACTAGCTTTATTATTTTTCACCCGTGCTTTCTTGTGATTTAGCTGCTCAATATCATCCCCTAGCTCCTCTCTGTTGGCTGGTTATTATCATTCAAAGCCAAATCATGAAATAAGAAAGAAAGAAAAGAGAAAGAAAAATTGCTGTTCCATGGTGAGAAGGTCCCTGATTAGACCGAGTCCTTCCGGGGGAGTGTTGCACTTGTGCATGAGGATCAATAGTAATTAGAGCAAAACTAAGCCCTGGAAGGCAATCTGAAAAGAGATGTATTAGGCCATCTAGTTTGGTGCATAAGGGAGAGAATGGGAAATATCAGTTGTTAGATCGATCGGTTCTCTAATCATTATGTACTGGTAATTTATCTGGTTTCCTCAACATAACCATATAATTCTTTCTGAAAATACTTCCTTTTATTGCACAACTTAACCGAAAACTCAATATTTCTCTTCCCTTAACATCTTGTAAGTGTTCTGGCTCCTTGGGGGGGGGGGGGGGAGCCCTCGCAAGTGCCCCTAAGAAGTTACAAATTTCTTCTTTTGGAATTGAAATCCACCAAAGGCACATAATCTGAGCCTGATTTCATCATCAATCCAGTAACAGAAAAAGCCCTGTGCAGCTCAAGTGAACCCAATCCATGCCGTTTGACAGCTTGGATTCTTTTATCCCCCTTCTGTGCACTTTTGCACTAAGTAGTGTTAGATCAATATCATGGAATTTTTTTTTTTTTTTAACCTCGAAGAGTTAAACCATTATCATGCTAACGATTGGGTCTTAATGCAGCAACTCTGCCAAATGCCAAAGCCTTTTTTGAAATCATAATTCCAGCTTCTTAATCTTTCCATCAGTTTGTCTCTGGCCTCAAGTTATAAAATTATTTTTATTGGTGGACTGCTTTACTGGTAATGTGTTTTTTCTAATCACCTTGATTATGACGAAGTAATTTCTGATGATTTAAGTTTTATTACTACTCGCACAGTCATAAATGGTTTTGGCTGAGAAATAGATGATATTAACAGTTTAAAGATTAAAATGAGAATAACATGATGGTCAATTTATATTTTGATTCATGGATTTGATTGATCTACAATATGAAATACTATTTCAACTCAAAGTTTAAGCTGTTAAATGAAAGTTCATCTAACACACCCCTACTGACTGCAGCTCATTGGGTTTGTGCAAACGATGTGGCAATCTGAGGAGAATAGCATGTACTAGATGCAGAGGAACAGGATCGGTTAGAGAAGGGGCAATATTTGCTATTAACCTTGTAGAGGATTTGTATGATACCCTTGGAAGTAAATCGGGGAAGCTGGCACCATGCATAAAATGTCAAGCTAAAGGTTACTTTTCATGTCCTGATTGTTCCAGAACATAATCAATTTGATTTTTTTCTTCAAAGTCGTGTAACAAATCTCCTCTGTCAACAAACATTCTCGTCCTCAATGTAAAGACCTTATAGTCACATGGCTTCTTCCTTTGCTTGTTTTCCTTTTTCTTCGCCCCATAAATGGTGATGTGTTGGAGTAATCTATCTTTGGAAACAATTTAGGTGCCGTCATCTGCGTATTTTTCTATCTGATTTTTTTAACATAAATAGATATTTTCCATATCTTTGCACTATATTATTGACTTATTTGACAAAAGATAAGTGCTTGCGCTCCCTTTCTGATTTCATCCATTGAAAACAGTCACCATGAACTTTGAAATCGTATAGTGCATTCATGAACTTAAGTATACTTAATGGGCACCTAACATGCATATGTGGTAGGATGAAGAATATGAAGGAGGAATCATGTTATCAAAAATTATTTTTGTCTTTGCTTTAGTTTTTCTTTTGAATTTTTCTGATTGTTTCATTATTTATTTACGAAGTTTAAATCATGAATAACATGTTGGAAGTGTTGATCAATCAAAATACGCCACATGTGGATAGAAGGATTTGTTTCCTAGTATGTCAAAGTGTAGGCTGATCAATAAATCTAACGAGTCAGATGATAAGGGTTGTATCATTATTCGTGTTTCAGAAAATCGAAAATTCTGCTTCAAGCCTTGGTGCAGTGAACCATAATCAAAATGATTTTTTCCCTCTCTCTTCCTAAAGGATTCCTGGCATGCCTTCTTTATCAGTTGTTTTCTGTTAAATTTCATTGCATGCTTTTAATTGACAATCTCGGAACCCGATTCTTTCCTTAGTAGTTGTAGCATACCACGAGGGAGTCAGTATTTACTTTATAACTGTTTGGGAAACACATCGATGCTCTTGTCCGAGTCATTGGACCACTTTAGCATTTAAGGATAAATTCTCCTCTTACTTATTGGTGGCTTTAATTTCTGCATCACTTTGTACAATTTTTGGATCATCAGGAAAAAAATTCAATCATGTCAGACCAACTAGCCAGCCAGCCAGCAGTACAAGCTTTTGGTGAAAACCAAAATGAGTAGTGTTTGTATGAGCCTTCATTAGAATGAAGCTGTGTATGATTCTTTTATAGACATAAGTTGGAATAAATTATTATGACAGTGTGTAGAGGGCTGGCTTGTTAAGATGCATCAGGCACTTTAGGAACGCTTGGAAGTTCGCTTTCAGCTGTGATTAATTAGTTTAGATTAAAATGGAGTCATTATTTAGTTCATGCTTAGTATCACTTACACTAGTGAGTCAGGATGCAGGAAAATGAAAAAAATTTTAGTGTGGTAGTATCTGTTTTTCCTCCCCTCATTTTTTGTTCTATTTTTTATTCAGTATATGGACAGAACTTGACCTCCGATATGTTTGAGTGAGAGGATGAAGCAGAATGTTGATCAAGTGAAGAGTGAGAAAAGTAATTAAATAGTAATGGTCTGCTTTCCCTTAATTGAATATTTTATTTAAATGTAAAATAAGGTGAATTATGGAAGAAACAAATTCAAGTATAAGGATTTTTCTTTTTAAAAAAATCCTAAAATGTTAAAACATGATGGTTAATTTCTGAGAATAGCTCGTGGGAGAAACATTTGCGGCAAAATTTTCTGAGTTGGAAGATTCCGGTCACTGAAATTATTAGTGCATAGAAAGGAATTGAGCTGGAATGCGTGGAAAAGAGATAAAAGCCATGTTTTTCTGAAAGAGGAGGTCTGCCCAGCACTTTATAAGAGGCAAGTGTTGTGATGCGTATGGCAATTTTAAGAAAAGTGCAAAATCTATGATGTGAATAATTCGTCCCTGAAGTCGTACCTCCCTTCAATTTTTCCCATCAGCAGTAATGCATTAGAAATTTGCGAGGATGATTTTGGGTAGAATTAATATTTTCAAAAAAATATTATAAAGGATAGGAAGGAGCTGTGAGTAATCGGCGAAGATTGCTTTTTTCACCGCGGGTGGCCGACCCGACCCACCTGGGGGGAGGGTGATACTGCGGCCCCATGCTGCTGCGGCTCTCTCGCGCTGACACGTGATACTGAGAGGGCCCCCCTTACGTGTCCGTACGACGTCGCTACGCCCAAAGCGCTGTGCTCCATTTCCATCAATCGGGTTGGCGTCACCTGGCAGGGTACATGGCCCCGCTATCACTGCTCGACACGTCACTGGGCCTTTGAGAAAAGCCCATCGCTGGAGCCCAACAGCGAACAAATCGATTATCCTTTGTTTTTTGTCATAAATTTACGTTTTGCCGAAGATGAGAGCATTTAATGAATTGGTGCGGTTCTTGAGTGGGTGTAACAGTTGAAGGGAAGCGAAGAGAGGAGAACGGTAAAGGAGGGCGAATGTGACTTGAGGAGGTTGAGGGCCCCTAAAAATGGTGTGAGAATTGAAGGCGAGACAAACACAGAGAGAGAGAGGGGGGGGGGGGAAGGAAAGGGAAGGGCATATGGGGCACCGTGATTTCTTTGTTTGGAAACGTGTGCTGCCACTTCCCTCATTATGAGATTCCTTATTTGGTGAGTGGATGCAAGTGGCCTGACAATGACCCTGCTCAGTTTCTTCCTTTTACAGTTTTACCCCTCTCTCTCCTTCAATTAATTAATCTCACCCTGCTCAGTTTCTTGCCTTTTCCCCCTCCTCCTAATTAAACCCCCCCTCTCTACACCGTCTCCTTGTTTGACATCATGTTGGGAAATTCAAGAAATTAATTCGCTAAGACTAAAAATATTGATTTGCATTATTATTGATGCTAAAGACTAAATTAAATTAGAATAAAAATCATTTTTTGCCAGTGTGAACCTAAACAAAACCTGAATTTCCTATTAATTTGTCTTAATTGGCATTATTGCTGCCAACTAGTGCCCGCTGATTGAGACCCATGATGCTAAAGACTCTCTGCTCCTCAACAAACTATATGCACTGCTTTTATATTTTATTATTTCAAACATATTTGATTTTGAGATCAGCCCTATTTTTGTTTCTCTTCTTTATTTTTGAAGAAAGATTATCACGTTGTGTTCGATCCTGTCTTTGCCCAAAAAAAAATAATAATTTAATTCCAATTTAACATGAAAATTATAATATCGTTTTAAAAAAAAAAACTAACGCTTTCGATATTGATTCGTATGATACATGTGTGGAAACATATATTCAAAAAATACTGGTATATTGGAAAAAGCATATATTACTTACATATTTATTGCATTTAACCAATTTTAACTTATTCTGATTTTTGATCAACATAGAATTTGGTTATTTATATGGTGTGTGTAAAATGAGAGGGAGTGTTATATTATATTTGGGCTCAGAGGAAACCCTTGGCAGCCACTTTTTAATTATCACGCACACACTATTGAAATGAACAACGTCCAATGATATAATACTTCTCCAACTTTAAATGTAAAACTCATTGTACAGTAGTATCTCCGGTCCGAACTAGTTGACTAATTTAAGGAGATTAACGAAATAAGTTAAATTAGTTATTTACAATAAATATGTGCTGTCTTTCCTAAAATATCCTTACTAATCAAATATATTAGCTAAAACTACTATTATTAGAAGGACTATCTTGAAAAAATATATATAAATACGAGAGACAAAGTAGATTGAGATCTTATATTTAGGACCAAAATAAAATTCAAATAAGGTCTTATATTAAAGACCGGAGGTAGTATAATTTATATTATAAAATAAGTATTATATTTAAAATTGGATAGGTATAATATATTATTCATCTGGTTTTGGGTTTAGCTTACAATACAGTAGTAGTAACTTGGCCATTATCGAGCGACGATTGATGGCAAATCAATGCAACAATTTATTATTAATGCTTCAAATGAATAGAAAGGGCTATATAGGCCATTGAAGTAGGTGTCAACAAAAATCGGGTTTAAATAATTAATTTGATGGATATTTTTGACCCATCAAACTTCCACACACGCAGGGAAATGGATTCGATAGGAGCTCTATCGCCATTCTCCTCTCAAACATGTAAAATATTGAGACTCCTCTTAACTTTCAAGATCATCTAAACCTCAGAATTATGCTTTTTCATTTTTTAATTCCAAAAATATTCTGGAAAATTTCACAGTTCCCAATACAATCTTATACATGGTTCTTCTCTGTTTGATATTGCAGGTTAGAGATCAAAACCCCTCTACACACACACACACATATGTATACAACAATTCATTTCAAAAATCTCCAAAATAAAATGTGAGGGGGGATTTCTTCGGTTGGTCAAGATGATGTGGTTGATTTACTTGGGAATTTTGAAGGAGTACGTAAAGAGAAGGAGGCAAGTGGCAATGGGTTGAGGGAGCTAATCTGGGAATTAACATGCATGACAGAGATTTGTAGCCTGTAATGAACTGACACGTGGGGGACCCATTTTAAGGTATGTGACGACGTTCTGATGCTTCTCTGTCGAAGCTCGAAAATGACACAGATTTTTCTTTTCACATTTTCCCCTCTCCACTCGCCCTCTCTCCCCTTAATCCCCATAACTGTCGTCAGTGCGGGTCACGCGCCGACGGCGCGGGTAGGTATGATGTGTTATACCAAAAAAACCTCAACCGAGCAAAGCATGGGAAGGAGGAAGGTAGTATGAAACTGGAAGGAACAAAAACCCCAAGGCTCCACTCCATTTTCTGGCGGAGATTGACAAAACCTGAGGATAAAAACCTCATTTAAGAGAGCAAGCGAGGCTAGAAGCCAACCCAATAACTCAAAGAAAGAAAGAAGAAAACTTTCTCTTTTATCTCTCTCGTTTCTCTCTCTAGGTTTCAACTTTCAACCTCAATTATCCAACTTTCTCTTGTTTTCACAAATTTGGTTATACTTGGGTACTGCCCAGGAAAGTGCATCATCTGGTGTGCCCCAGAGGAAGAGGAGGAAGAAAGCAAGAAAAGTGAGGAAAGAGATTGAGAGGTGGAGAGATTGTATAGAAATAGAAAGAAATTAATAAAAAAGGGAAGTTTTAGATCAAGAAAGATAGATTGGGAATTTTAATTTAGAGTTAGTTTATTGGGATATGGGGAGGGGAAGAGTGGAGTTGAAGAGGATAGAGAACAAGATAAACAGGCAGGTCACTTTTGCAAAGAGAAGAAATGGCCTTCTCAAGAAAGCCTATGAGCTCTCTGTGCTCTGTGATGCTGAGGTTGCCCTCATCATCTTCTCCAACCGTGGCAAGCTTTATGAGTTCTGCAGCAGCTCTAGGTATGTTTTCGTGTCAAAACTCTCGCTGCATCTTCGCTTCTTTGATTTTGTCCCTATCTTTCTCTTTCTCAAAGACTGTCACACTGTTTAATTATTTGGTCACGGACGATCGAGATCTACTTGCTTCTTTTCCTTTTGCTGCCTTTTTTTTACACAAGGCTAGTTTCTAGCTATTTTCCTCCGTCAGATCAGTATATTTCTATGATTTTTGATCTTACTGTATGTCATTTTGAGGCTTCTCGGAGTTTCTAGGTTTTTCTTTTAATGAAATATTGCCTTGTTTAAGTTTATCCTTGTTCTGATCTGATTTTTTGTTTACTTATATGTGACTTTTTTGCGAGATGACTGATGATCAGCTTCGTCTTTACTTTGCTTTTCACTGTCTCTTGGCTTTACTACCTTTGGTTCAACAAAGAACCTTTTTTATGAAGTCTTTGCTGCTGCTAAATACCTGGATTTCGGAGACTAAATAACGAGTGTAGATCGAGCATAAAAATTCTGCTTCTTGTTTAACTTCTTTTTCTTTTTTTTCCTCTTAAGGTTTCTTTGCCATGATCTGGTTCACTTTAAAAGTCTGGCTAAGTGACTTAATGATAACTCAATAACCAATAGACAACATAGAGTTATATTGTTTTGAAAGGGAGCTTTTACATCCTACTGATCATTGAGCAATCTGTCACTCCAAGTCATGGTCAAGATCTCATAAACATATGTCCAGTTTTTTACATATATTCTTTTTGCTAGAAATATAGGACTGCTGGAGAAAAAGCCGTTACTCTTAGCTTGTTGTGATTTGTTCCTGAAATTTGTATCTGCGCGTCGTCCGATGGAGTTATTAGGTTAGTGATAATTAATAATTAATACGCCGATAAATTTCTGCACTGACAGCAAGCAAACAAACAAACAAGTTTCTGTTTTTCACCTCTTCTTAATTCAAAGTTGCTCAATTAAACTTTTTATTCCAGCTTGCTGCTGTGAATAATGTGAAACTTCGAGTTGCTTTGGTTGTTCATAATAACAAAAAATTTGTTCATTCTCACATGATGAAGTTCCTCAATCGGATTGAGAATAATATAGTAGTCACTAATCCTTTAGAACGTGCTCCCTTCTTTTAGGGTGTGTTTGGTATGAGGGATTTGGGAGGGAGGGGAGGGAAGAGGAGGGATTTTAATCATTTCCTCTTGTTTGGCAACACACAAATTTTAAGAGGGGAGGGAAATTTTTTAAAAATTTCCCTCCCCTCCCCTCCTCAACCTCCCCTCCAAAATTGAGAGGATTTGGAGAGAAAGAGCAATATTTTGTCATATTATGACCATTATGCCCATATTTTGTCATGTTGTGACCAATATGTCTATATTTTGTCATGTTGTAACCATTATGCTCACGTTTTAAATAAAATAAGAGCAAAATTGTCCATATTAAAATATTTTTCCCTCTCCTCTTTTTTTATAAATCCAAACAAGATAATATTAAAATCCTTCCACTCCCCTCCCCTCCTCTTCCTTCCATTAAAATCCCTCCCCTCCCCTTCCTCTCATTGAGCCAAACATACCCTTAGAGGCCTTCTGGTTTCAGTTTATTACAAGAATATTTCAACAATATATATTTTCTGAACTCTACTGAGCATATTTTTACTCATGCTTTCAAATTTTTATTTTGGAAAAAAAGACGGTTGGAAAACCGAACAAACTTTTATCCAAAAATATCGCCTTTGAAACACCCATAGTTGATACTACCTCTGGTCCTAATTATAAGATCTCATTTATAGTCTACAAACTAGGTCTTATAATTAGGACCAGAGATAGTAACTCGTTTTTATGATGAAGAATATTAAATTTACAAACAAAGTCTTATAATTAGAACTGAAAATAGTAACTCGTTTTTTATGATGAAGAATGTTAAGCTACGTTGATACCTAATTAAGCATATGTGTACACGCCGCGATTTAATATCATTTTGACACTCCCTGTAAAAGCAATGTGTGTGAATTTCTCTTTCACTTTCCGCGACGTACCTTCCCATTATTCTTATTTTATACTATTTCCTTTTTCCGATGTAAACGATGAGTTCTCGTTTGTTAATTCACGTTTGATTTCCTTGCTGTATAAATTTCTCCTCAATTTCCTTCAATTGATGACTTTGTTCACGAGGATACATGTGGAGTTACTCATGACTTGGTAGGCACAAATAATATTCATGCACCGTTGATGTTCTTGTTCGGCATATTTTTTCATGTCATTCATAATCTTTTTTTTGGAGTTGGCAATGTGGCATTCAGAGTCTAGGGTTATATCAGGAAAAAAAAAATCTAGGGGTACTATGTTATACAAAATGCTGATGAAAAAGAGAAGGTGCCATAATATAGTATAAGGCTAAGGTTATTTGAGTAGGGTTAGGGTTTCTCCTAATCATTATACTGGAGATTTGTATGTGTGAAATAGAGTATTAGATTCTTCGGTAAAAAAAGAAATAGAGTATTAGATTCATCATAGATATTGAAAGGATCTTTTTTTGGACCTGATAAAAGATCAAATAGTCAGAGACCTGGACCTCTAAAGGTTTTCGGAGAAGCTCTATGTTAGCTTGCCCCTTGCCAGTCAAAAGAATTTCTTACCGAAAAAAAAAACAAAAATTAAATATATACGTGCCATCAGAAACCCAGAGATTGCAACTCTGAGCTGGATTAAAAATAAAAAACATGGTAAATAAAGGGCAATGATCTATAATGTGTAGGTTCAAGCTCCTATGATGTTAAGAGCTTTAATTTATGTTGGTATAGTGTGAATCATTCTCAAGCAGATCCTTAGCATGCAGTCTTTTCAGATTAGCTTCTTCGCATTCTTTGATAGACTTCGTCTTTAATTATGCATTCTTTATGCCAAAGTGTGAAATTGGTGCATGTATGAGTCAAATAAGTTTGGAAAAGATTTCAGCAAACACTTTGCACATTAAGCTATGGTCCTAGTATAACCGATTTTATTGTCTCTCCAAACAGGAAAAGACGACGATAAGGGTCAGGGAAACATGAGATAATAAAATGACTGCTATAAAGTGGGAGGATGTAACCCTAGAAAGATTCCGTGGCAATAGGAGGAGCAGGAATATTCTAACTAAACTATTAAATATCAGAGTAACTGCTAGCCTCCAACATATAGAAAGAGCTGGCGACCTGTCAAATACTGTTTTGTTATGTACCACACGATACTGTGCTTGAATAGTCCTAGAAGTAGCTAGGAGTAGATTAGCACTGTAGCAGAGAGAACAAACAGTTTTCCCTTTTTAAATGCAAGAACAGTACTTCCATGTGCCTTCTGTCACTGTAGATTTGAGTCCATCTACCACTCTTTACTTGCAAATAAATCCTTCACATCTGTGCCCCCTGGAAATGCAAATTGCAACAGTCACATCTCTGATCTGCATCACTTGCCTTCTAATCTAAACATCATTAGTATTACTAAAACCCCTTACACTTTCTGTTCAATAATCCAAACTCATTTTTGTTAATTCCCAGAGATCACATACCTTCAGAGTTAAATAAATCCAAAACTTGGTTTTCACCTTAAGTAATTATACGAAAGTAATCAAAGGATTGAAAAACCAGTTATATAAATCGATAACTAAACATGTGACTAAGGCCGAGTCGTCACTTGTCAGTGTGATGATCCGTTCCGACACATATATTTAGGATTACAGAAGTCCATCGCTTTCTGTTAGTATAGTGATGATCATAGGTTGACCAATATATATATATATATGTATGTATAGACACACAAACATTGATCACAACGCTTGTGAATAAATTTAAGTGTGGTGCATATTATAACACTGAGGGGGGTTGTTGATTCGTTTGAATGATAGCAGCATGCTCAAAACCCTGGAAAGGTACCAAAAGTGCAGTTATGGTGCAGTGGAAGTCAGCAAGCCTGCCAAAGAGCTCGAGGTAACTTCATTGTCTCTTAACTTTCTATCTTCACTCTCGTCACTTTACCCTAACTCCTCACTGTTTTTTGACGTTACGGTTCACCTTCGTAATTAACTTCACTTTGCAGCCTGTCGATTCATGATCATTAATCGTAGTATCGGTACTAAAATTTTGAAGTGTAACGTACACTTTTTTCCTTTTAATTTTCATTAAATTAATTAGAAACGAAATTGTTAAGATATTAATATGCGGAATTTGACCTGTAATAAAGATAATAAGTGGGATTTTTGTCAGTCACATAAGATTTCTAGTCTCTGGACTCGTGTTGTTTACTTTGACTAATAAAAGGTTTATTGGCTTTGTCTGTTGAGAAAGAATCTTTCTCCACCGATACTGGTAGTTTTTTTTAAATAAATAATAAAAGCTTATTTCCAAAGCTTAAAAGTTGATTTCTCTTGATTACGTGATTATTAGTGGTATATGGATAATCGTTCCATGCTTTATGATACTCAAGGAACATTTTATATCAGTGCATTTTAAAGTTTTTTCGTTAATATCTAATTAAACTATAGTATAGCGAGTAAAATACATATAGCTTTTCTTAAATGATTTGTACGTCAATTTTAAAGTTGGCAGATAAATTAATTTCAGAAAAATGTCTTAAATTTATATTGAAAAAAAAAACTCCCTCGAAGATATAAGAATCTAATTAAGAACTATTGCTTATTATTCACTCCATTAGTCATAACTCGATTTCAATGTTTTAACTTCGATTAGCAGTTAATTACAAGTGGTCGTTTCAAGAATTATTACTTATTATCGCGTTACTTACAATTTGTTTATTTCATTCACATCAGTTCCATTGTTACTAATTAGAACTCAAAATTATAATATTGGAGAGATTTGAGAGATTTTGTTGCAGCAAACGAAAAAGAGTGGATGTAATTTTCAAATATATATGGATCTTTATTTGCAAGGGTTTTCTAAAGTCCTCCGAAATTAATTTATATATGGTGCAACTATTTTTGTCATATTTCATTTGCCATTGCTCTGTTGTGGCAGAATAGCTACCGTGAGTACTTGAAGCTGAAAGCCAGATTTGAATCTCTCCAAAGGACTCAGAGGTTCTTTCCTTCTTTCTTTTCTTATGCTTCAGGCTTGAAATCAACAGTTTCATTAGTTAGTAATTAGTATATTGTATTCTCATGTTTGTCAAAGAGTTTCTCTTTCAATTTGTTGCATTAGAATTTGTATGTATCAGTGGCATTTGACCTGTGTTTCCTGCTGCAGAAACCTTCTAGGGGAGGACTTGGGCCCACTGAATACCAAAGAACTTGAGCAGCTCGAGCGACAACTGGACTCATCTCTCAAGCAAGTTAGGTCCACAAAGGTAATGAAACATTTAGAAATCAACTGATACTTCATAGGACTTTTTGGGGTACCATGGATTCAGACAGTACTAATTATAACATGCATGCATATATATCTTCGTCAAATAAACATGATAACTGCCGAAATATTTCAGAAACTACTTTTATTATTAAAACTACAGTGTCCACACTTGTTCGGAAATGATGAGGTTGTGCGGTGAATGTATTTTCTCTTTGGGGCCAAAGTGCTGTGTATCTATTTTCAGTTTTTCACTCCTATACTATTTGTGAGAGGTTTCTTATGAAATGTTTACTATGACTCCTGTTGGTTTTGTGGCACTGTCTGGAACATCATTTTACAGACACAATTCATGCTGGACCAACTATCTGATCTTCAAAATAAGGTACGTATAACAACATGGTGGTCATGTCTTGTGTAATGAAACAACTTTATTAATTGCTAATACTTTAAAGCTACTGTTTGCTTTTACAGGAGCAAGTTTTAGCAGAAGCAAACAGAGCTCTGACTATGAAGGTAATATTACATCATCAGCATTTATTGATTTTATATTTCAGGCAACATGAGACAGACCTAATCTGGTTACATTAGCTCCTTAAGATCGCATTATATTCTTCTGCTAAATAATATCCTTTAAAGATTGCCTAAACAACAGTGAGCAAATTCAAGGAAAACCTCATCAACTTACCTTCTCGTAATATGATTATGCAATTATCTTGAAACATTGTTGGTTGTTATTGGCAGCTGCAAGAGATTAATGCAAGAAACCACTTCAGACAGTCATGGGAAGCTGGTGATCAAAGCATGCCATATGAGACTCACAATCCTAACTCTCAGGGTTTCTTTCAGCCTCTGGAATGCAATCCCACGTTGCAGATGGGGTAATATATTGTGAATTACTTCCCTGAAAAAGTAAAGTTATTAGTTCATTTGAGTGATATTCTAATGCATATGCCCCTGCTGTTGGATCAGTCCTGAATACAGGTACAATCCAGTAGCTTCAGATCAGATTGCTACAAGTAGTCAAGGCCAGCAAGTGAACGGCTTCATTCCAGGGTGGATGCTCTGAGCTTATGATCTGTGGGTAGATGGTCATATATAAAAGCAAACACCTAACGAAGGAAATGGCAAGAGTTTCTAGTTGGCAATGCAATGTGTAAATGCTTCATCCTGAGAATTTTCTCTATAAGCTTGTTTTAATTCCACATAAAACTAAACCAGCAGTGACTTATTTATCATGAATAGGCTATGGAACCTTTAGCCATCAAGACTGTTTGCGTATGTAGTGCCTTGGAATCTTGATCTTTCAAGCACAACTTTCGTCTGAAAGAAAGACTGATTAATATGTTTATATTTTGGTCCTCTTCTTTGACCCTGCATTCATTTTTATTATTTGTTACATAAGGCTTTGCGCTGTTTTTTTTTCCTTTGAATGCTATTGGACGTACTCTTGTCTATTTCGGGTCTGGGTAGAGATTTTATGCGTATTCGGATACAGAGGGAATGCACGATCATTTTAAGAATTGGAGGGAGATGGTCAATCAAGATTGTGGGAGATTTGCCCTATTTATACCTCCAGTGGAATTTTATAGGATTTATATTTCAGTTTGGTAGGATATATATATCAAGTTTGAGTACAGACTTGTTTGATGTGAGAGTTCTCACATTGGATAGATTCGTTATGGGAGTCCAAGGCCATTTCGTTGACTTGAGCCCGCTTGAATTCAAACCTCAACATGTTCTTGGTTTGCCTCGAGTATAGGTCTTTATTACAACCTTTGGTCATAATCATAAGACCTTATTTATAGACTATAAATAAGATCTTATAATTAAGACCAAAAGTAGTATTATTTTTCTTTGGTTGCCTAGTGAATCAACTACTACTAGACTTGACTAATCCTATAGTACTATAAACTTGTTGAAGGAGCTTTAATGCTAGTCACAAAAGCCTTTTCATACACATCGCTATAGGAATTGAATCCTGATTAAATATTTAAGAAACCCAGCTAAATGTCAACGCAATTATTCTAATATTATAACTAATTTTTATTTTTTCAGGGTAACATAATTGAGTCCAGATTATAGACACTATGGTGAGTGTCGTAGGTTCCGTAGTTTAAGAAAATAAACGAGTTACAAGGTTTATAACTCATTCATAATATAATTTGTTAAAAATATGTATATTATACTCTATAAGATGGCTTAGAAAATGTTTCCAGTTCAATGAAATTAGCCCATTAAAGTCGTGAGTATAGAAATGGGTTAGGTTGGGATAGGTAAAAGTTGGCCCATGTAAAAGTGAGCTACGTTTAAAAAAAAAAAAGACTACCTTGCTCATTTTATTAGGAAAAAGGCGAAAGAAATGACATTTGTTTGGTATTTACCACTTTGTCATCTCAGGTACAAGGAGATATGGAACATTTATAGATTCAGCCTTTTTAGCTTTCGTCTTTAATCGCGATGACTATTTTTTTTAGTGGTTTTGTTAGAATCTTTTACTTCTCATATAATGTTATACAACGAACACACCTAATTTTTTTGTTCTAAAGGCAGGCATATTCTAGCAAATCAGAATGATGGCTTTTGGTATTGCATAAATTGAAAAAAAAAAAAAAACAGAAAGAGCTAGGCCGTCAGGTCACTTAAAAAAAAAAAGAGTTCTTTTTAATATGATGCCTTTTTTTCGGTGGTCCCAACTCTAATATGCGTGCTTTGGCCCAAAAAAAAAAACTCTAATATGCGTGTGTTATAGAAATAGGGATGATTATGAACACCAGCCCTCAGATTAATTAGTAGGAGTTATTTCAGTTTAACCAAAAGTCACGGGTCTAATCTTTTGAAAATGCAGCAATGTAGGTGATAGGGTTACCGCACATATGAATCCTACCATGGTTTGATCCGGATTAATCTAGTTTGTAATTCTTGGATATGGTAGCTAGGATACTGGGTGCATATGCAAAAAAAAAAAAAAAAACAGAGAGATGATTACATCAAAAAATATGGTAGAGAGAGGATGAGGATATGGATTTTATGGAATGGATAAAGGAATCTTCATTTGCAGTAGTAAGAGAGAATCATAAAGAAGTCAAAAGAAAATAATTACTAGTAAGTTCTAATAATAAGTAAGTAGTTATTATTTATAATATTTTATTGTTATCGGGATATTTTTAGTAATTATGTTTATTATCTGATAGTACGTCTTGTTCTAATTATAAGACTTTGTTTATAGTCTATAAACGAAATCATATATTAAGACCAGAGGTAATACTCTTTTGGTCTTTAATATAAGAGCTATTTAACTAATTTGATTAGATTAAGAAAGTTAGGTAAATTATTTAATTATAAAAAACATCACATATTTTTTCTTAAAACACCATACTCATCTTTCTTACTATCTTCTCTTCCTCTTCTACTTGATTATAGTTGATGGAGTATCCATTGAGATAATTTAGGAAAAACTAATAAATATGAGAATAGATTTTATATTTAAAAACAAAATCAATTCAACAATTATTATATCCTATATTAGAGACAAGAGGAATACTTCATAACAATTTTCCTTTGAAAATGAAGGGAGGTGAGAGGGAAGTGATGCGCATCCGTTGGACACACAGAAAAAGGAATGGTTTTGGGAATTGGGAATGAAATCTTGAAAGAGATCATACAGTTGCAACTCCATTGCTTTGCTTCAACATCCATCACGTGCCTCCATAGCACTCCTAACTCCTAATGACTCTCATTAATATTTCTTCTTTTAATTTTTTTTAATTAAATGGCAAACACCAACTGCTTAGGAATTTACATATCGCTAAATTTTATAATCATTGGCCCTCTTACTAATATTTCATGCTTTTAATTTTGAGGTCTCCTTATAAGCCTATGACGTCACTGGCCTTCTCACTGATATTTTATGTTTCTTTAAAATAAAAAAAATAAAGGGCAATCACTGGTAGTTTGGAGTTATAAGTAAATTTAAATCTGTGGCATTCTATTTTTAGAAAATTTTGAGGTCAAGCTCTTGACTTTTTACTTGTAATAAAGTATCCATACCACTAAACAATAGGACTATTTTCATCAACGGTAGTGGGAGCCAATGAGAATAAGAATCCCCTCCACCCTTGAATTTCCCAATATTATTTCCTTTAATTACCAAAATGCCCTTTTGCATTTATTGACATTTAACACCCGATCTCTTTTCTTTAAAAAGAAAAAAAAATCAGAAATATGTGTCGTTTTGGTCTGGCATTGAGTGGCAATTGTAAGAGAGCATGATTGATTAGTTTTGCATTGAGAAGTAGTAGTACTGACAAAACTATGTACTCCTCCGGTCCTAATTATAAGACCCAATTGACTTATTTGAGGAAATTAAGGAAGTAAGTTAAGTTGGTTATTTATAATAAATAAGTATTGTCATTCCTAAAATATCCTTGCTAATTAAGTATATTGGCTAAAACTATCATTATTAGAAGGATTATCTTGGAAAAAAATACATAAATATAAGAGACAAAATGGACTGGGTCTTATAATTAAGACCAAATAAAAAGTCAAATTGGGTCTTATAATAAGGATCGGAGGAGTACTAACCAAGTGCCGTCGTCACAATTTTATTTTAAGGCTCGATCATGTAAAACCTTTTATTGTAGGATATATACCATTTTGCAGTGTTTTGTCCCTACTAGCATAATTACTAGTGTGTTTATTAGTCAAGGAAGAATGGTACACAAACTTTAAATTGCTTTTTTTTTTTTGGTTTTTCTCTCATACACATGTCTCTCTTTGGAACACAAAAAATGGCCATCATTGTTGAAAAAGGTCCTCCTTTACTGCCATTTTCTACAGTTCAAATATTCTAGTTTTAACAGTGAAAGTTATTGCACCAATTTTTTCGTCATAATTTTTTTTTTAATCGCCGCTAACAATTATATTTAGGGAAAAAGACAGTAAAATACCCTTAAAATTACTAAATGACAAATTAGAGTAGGTAAATTTCAAAATCTCAATTCAGACCCTAAGTACCATTTTGGAATTTTCAAATCTTGTAAAATGACAACATTGTCCTTACTGTCGGTGACTACTTCCATGTAGTTATTGACTACTCTGTTTTAACTATTGACAACTTTTGTTTTTAAAGTTCCAATGAATATTTTTATATAACTATTGACTACACAAGAGCAGTAAATCGCATTATTGAAGTAGTCAATAGCTTAGCAAGAGTAGTCATCAAAATTTAAAAATAAATGTAGTCAATAGCTAAAAAAGAGTAGTCAATACATAAGCAAGAGTAGTCATCAGAATTTTAAAATAAATTTAGTCAATAGCTAAAAAAAAATAGTCAATACATAAGAAAGAGTAGTCACTAGAGCACCCCTGACTAGTCAACAGAGTTTCGGTAACGTGTTATCAAAGTTCAAAAATAAATATAGTCAATAGCTAAAAAAAAGTAGTCAATATATAAGAAATAGTAGTCATTGGAACTTTGACAACCGGTCACCGAAACTCCGATGACCGGTCGCTGGAATTCCGGTGGTTGGTCGCCGGCAGGGTCACCGGCGGCTGGAATTGCTAATGTGGCAGTATTTTAAAAAAAGTATAAAAAAAGGTAAAGGGCATTTGTGTAATTTTACAACATTTGAAAATTTCAAAATGGTACCTGGGATCTGAATTGGGATTTTAAAATTTACCTACCCTAATTTGTCGTTTAATAATTTTGAGAGTATTTTATTGTCTTTTTCCCTTATATTTACTACTGACTTTTTATTCTGGTTTGGTTCAATACTGACTTGTTCATTGTGTCTACAAATATCTACATATATATTTATATCTTTACTATTAATTAACAGTAGCAAAATCGCATCAATCATCTCCGTCATGAAAAAAACATTTATCATAATCTTTTCTGTTTATATTTATAAAGTAATATTATGTTTTTTTTGGGGCCTGGAACCTAATATTAAAGAGGTATTTGAGTGGAACTAAATTATAATTTTAAAATTAATTTTATCATAAAAATAGTTTTACAAAGCATGGGAAAAACTAAACAGCCCGAGTTGACAAATTAGTTAATTGTACAAGACAAAAGAAGCTATGGCCGAATTGAATGAGAATGAGATTCTTTTTTTAGCGACATCAAGGAGGTGTTTGGTTTCTTTCAAAAGTGCTTTTTTTTAGTCAAAATAAAACTTTTCTAACATACTTATTTCGTATACCGTAAAATTATTTTTACAATTATGGTTTAGTTTCTACCAAACACCTCTTAAAAGTTAGAATCTTGGTGTGTTGGGGGGAATGATGTTGAGAGATTGAACTCAGGTAAGCATGATAATGCTATTGGTAGTCATCCTGAATATAAGGTCGAGTTAATAAATTTAGAAAGATGAAGAAAATTAAATAAATTATTTTAAAGTGTTTATACGTATCATTTTTCTTGAAATTAATTTACTTGACTTATTAACTAATATATAATCTAATGATACGCATAAATACTTATTCCAAAAAAATCATATAAAATATGTTATAATTAAATAATTTATTTAATATTTTTTAATTTTTCTAAATTAGTTAAGTGGTCATTTTGCAAAGAATCGGAGATACCATTAAACAAGCTGGCTGACTCAATTGTTACTGTATCTTTCAAAATGACATGACATGCCTCCTGTCTCTTTTCACACAGATCGGGGGACGATAGGGACATATATGTGATTAGCAGTTTGTAGTTAATTGATTAAATAAAGAGTCCTACAAGTTAATTGAATAGTTTGACAATAAATTCTTGTAAATTCTGCACAATAAGACATAATATGTCATGAAATTTATCTGCACAAAAATTAAAAAAAAACTTGTTAAATATAATTCAAAAAAAAAATCCTCGCCAAAAAAATATATTGCGATTATCATATTAGGCTCCCAAACTTCACAAAATAATAACAAGCTAATTAACTAGAGAAGTTACATGAACAGGCTTAACATTTTAGAAACATTAATGGCTAGTTTTTAATGTTTTATTTATTTCAAAGCTGAGAAAACTGTGTGTATTTCATTATTGCTTCAACCGACGTATACGTAGTTACGTGCACTTATAGCAAAAATAACCACTACTAACCACATAGACCGCTGAAGCCTAAATATCCTACCTATAATATGGCGAGAAAATGATATATATTATTTATAGTTTTGGTTTCAAAATTTTGAAATTTAATTGATACTACCTTTTGTCTTTAATATAACAATTTGTTTGATTTTATTTTGATCATAAATATAAGACCTTAATCTATTTTATTTTTCATATTTAATAATAATAGTTTTAGTTAATATATCTAATTAGTAAGGATATTTTAAAATTTTTTTATTTATTATAAATAACTAATTTAAATTAATTAATTAGCTTATGAGAGACATTTTTCCCAAACATGGGAAGAGGGGGAGGGTGGGCCCCGAGCCGGCTCAGCTAATCAGGGCATCTGAAAACTCAAAATCACGCAAATACGTGCCCTTCTATTTCCTTTGCACGTCCTTTCTGGGTCCCACTACAATCTCCCTCCTCCAATTATCACTCGACAACGCAATGTCCTTACCCGGTCCCACCCACTCCCCACTCGACAACGCATTGTACTGAAAGGAACTGCGCGTCCCAACCCCCTACAAAAATGAGAGAGAGAGGGAGAGAGAGAAACCCTAGTTTAGGTTTTGCCTCTCCCTTCTGTCTTTGTTGTTCAAACCCGCACAGGCAGTGCAGTCATTTCTTCCCCATTACTGGTATTAAATTCTCCTCCGCTTTATATTTCTAATGACATGAACCCTCACGAAAGTAACAACCATGTTGTAGACTCTATATATACCACACACACTCGCCATTTCTTTGCCCTGCCTATTCTTTTTTGGCATTCTTTACCCTACTCTCTTCTTTCTTCTCAGGCTGACACTCTCTAGGGTTTCCTTATATATGTAGATAAATTGTTGTCGGTATGCACATAAATGATATCTTGTTTTCTTGGGCTGGTCTCTCTAATCTGCTTGAACTTGAATTGGTTTTTGTGTGTTTGTTAAAAGAGGTAAAAGAAACAAGGAACGTAGGAGAAGGAGATGGGGAGAGGTAGGGTTCAGTTGAAGCGGATCGAGAACAGTTCGACCAGGCACGTGACGTTCTCAAAGCGCAAGGGCGGGCTGCTTAAGAAAGCCAATGAAATCTCAGTGCTCTGCGATGCTCAGGTCGCTTTGATTCTCTTCAGTTGCAGGGGCAAACTCACTGAGTTTAACTCTCCGTCCTCCAGGTCCTTCCTTCTCTCTCTCCCTCCCTCTCTCTGTCTTGTTCCTCGATCAGTGCTTGTATATATATAATTCTGTTGTGAGATCCAATCACACATATACATAAATAAACACCATGTTTAAATTTCTGTTCCATTTCCTCTCTATCTGTTTATACCCTTATACGGTGCTGATATCATCCTGCACTATGCTAAATTGAAGTAGTCTTTAATTTTCTATCAGAGGCAGTTCCTAGCATTTTCAGTTCTGTATACTAATTTAGTTCCTCAGTTTAAACAATCCTCTCGCCACTCAAACTAAGTTTTCTCTCATATCTCTGACTCATTTTGATTTCTGTTCCCCCTTGCGTCTGATTCTGCAGACAAGACCAATATTGACGACATATCTCTCATGCATGCTCGTAGGAGGTTGTCTGTGTAACGTGTTAGTGATTAATTCATATGTGTTGTGGGCGCGACACGAAAACGAAGAAGAGTACCCTAACTGTTTGTGGCAAATTATAATGCATTTTTCACTAAAACGCAGTTCACCTCTATAAATATACGTACTTGCTGTATTGAAATTTGAAACTACGTAATCCGTAAAGTCTTCTGTTAAAAGTATAAAATTTATCCGATTTATCCAGTCTTTATAGCTCAATATGACGCCCACATACACACACATTCATAGTTGTCGACCCTATTGTTTGGGGATGTAGGTAATTTTGATAGAAAACAAAAGGGTAAGTTATTGATTAGGAAAAAATAAAAATAGAAGCTGGTAGACTTGGTCTTCTGACTATTTAACCCTTTTGTCTGATCCCTAAAATCTTACATTTATCTAGGCTTTTGAGTATGTAGTTTTATTATTATTTTTTTTTAACCACCTGCTACTTATAGTATGCTTCACGCTAATTTGGATCTGTTATAGGCTGGCGAATTGTAGCTTCACATGATATAGAATTTCTTTTAACCAAAAAAAAAAAACAGATATATAAATTATTATTTTATTAAAAAAGACACTTCAAATCCCGACAGACTTGCAACGCTAAAAAAACGAACAAAGAATATTTAGGAGGATTATGGTAGAGGCCACTCTACTCTTAGAGTCTGTTTTGAGTAACTAGATGTAACGCCTATTGTGCCCTTTTATTACCTGTTGCCCAAAAAAAAAAAACCAACAAGAACAAATCGTATAATATAATAATTTTAAAATGTGCCTAATAGAACTAAAATATTCGTTAGGTCCCAAACATATTTGGTCCTTGCATATTTATATATGTCGTATATCTGTGCACTTTAAAATTATAATTAGAAGTGCATGCAGCCTGTGGTTGGATGAAGTAATAAATCTTTGCAAGGCTATGCTCTGTGAAGTGATACCAGATAGGGTAGAATGACTACAGTAATATGAATATATTTCTTGATTTCAAAAGACGATAAATGAATTTATAATAAAATAAAATGGAGAGAGTTATGTGAAATAAGCTAAGTATTATCTCCGGTCCTAACTATAAGAGTTAGTTGGCTAGTTTAAATAAATTAAAGAAATAAGTTAAGTTAGTTATTTGTAATAAATAAGTGTTGTCTTTTCTAAAATATCCTTACTAATCAGGTTTATTAGCTAGAATTACTATTATTAGAAGGACTATTTTGAAAAAAAATAGATAAATAAGAGAGACAAAATAAATTGGAATCTTATATTTAGAACCAAAATAAAAATTAAACTAGATTTTATATGAAGGATCGAAGGTAGTATGTCTTAATTGGTAGATAAGAAGAATAACATGTTCAGTCAGTAATTCTTATATGGTAACTAAAAGAACTCCATTCGCTTGCAAGGAGGAGCTTGATATAAATCATGCTACTTACTGTTTATGATCATTATCAATATATATTATATTTTGCTGGCAATATGTATATATATTATATTTATGTGTTGATCTTGATTTTCTGTTAAATTGTTTAAATTTTAATTTAAATTCAATATTATTTATGGGACAGCATGGATAGCATTCTGGAGCGATACGAGAGATGTTCGCACTCAGAACAACTCGCTGGAAGTAACAACGATTCCCAGGTGCTCATTCATATATAGAAAACATATTATTTCTTTGAGAATCTGACTGTTGCAACACGAGACTAGCTTCGCTTTGTGTGTTTTTTAACTTCTTGTAAACCATAAAATCATGGTACAGACCTAGCTTTTGGGGGGAGGGGGGAGGAAAATATCGAATAAAATCGGAATATAATCGAATTTATATATAACTCGGTCTAACTATAGATTCAAAGTTTACGATTAACATGATCTGAATGCTCTCACTAACCGGATTACACATTCTGAGCAATGTTGTTCGTTAGTTTCCTCTGGTTGTATATTTATGGCAAAGAATTCTATTTTTGCATGGCTGCCTTTAAAATAGGCGCTTTTGTCTACTTGATAACTGTCGTCTGAAAAATTTTGTAGGGAAATTTGTCTTTGGAGTTATTCAAGCTCACTACTAGGGCTGAAGTTTTACAGAAGAACATAAGGTAAAATTCTTTCTTCGGCCTTGAACATAAGGTAGAATTCACAACTGGTTTTCTCTAGTCTCTCAATATTAATAATGTAGTTGAAGCGCACACTTCACACACACAAAGAGAGGGAGGGAGGTGAAAAGTGGAGAATGGAACAAAGACAAAACTCCTCATAACTTCATTGGCTTTTCTTGGCATAGTTAATCGCTTACATAATTAATCTTCTTGATATGGTTTATATGATACCAATCATCCTCTTTTTCTGACAGACACTTCAAAGCAAACGACTGTGAAAACATAAAACGTAGTAGTTATTTTGCTTCATGTGGTGCTTTTTATTTGGATGTAGTTTAATAAAGGAGGTACAAAATCAAAAGTTTGTCCATGATTAACGATCGACATCTACATATTATGTTGAAAATAGGAATTACGAAGGAGAGGATCTGGATCCCTTGAGTTTGAAGGAGCTTCAGAGTCTGGAACACCAGCTTGAAAATGCACTGAAGCGCATCAGAACCAAAAAGGTGAAAAAGTTGAACATTATCCCGCCACCTGCCTCAAAATGATTCACATTGCTTAAATTGGGGGGGGGGGGGGACAATATGAAAGAGGGAATCAAAAGCATCGTCAAAATTGAATATATATCTAATATAACATGTTTATAATGTTTCTGTTAATTAATATTGAACTCTCTTAGATATATCAAACTTCATTTGTGCAGAACCAAATCATGATAGAATCCATCTCAGAGAAGCATAGAAAGGTATTAATATGACTATTCTTTTTTTTTATATATATATATATATCTCAATATGGCTGTGCTTAAACCTTATTATACTTTTAAGTGACACAAAATATAATAGACGGTGCATACAAGCAGATTCAAGCATGTATTATACATAGTGTAAGAAAAGATCAGAGTCATATTATTCATAATTCATAAGTTATATTAATAGTAATATTTATTAGAACTTTATTATATATGCGTGTCTGTATTAGTATATAATGGTATTGATGGATGATTGATTTATTCGCATTCAGAACACAGTAGGCAATATATATAGCAGGCTATATATTAGCTTATGCTATCAGTCCATAGCTCAACACTATTGGCTATTGCTACCATACGTCAGTTGTGCGTGTAGCCTTGTGACACCTATATAAATATATATATAAATACACACATCACAACATTACTTTAACAGGTAGCTTCTTTTATGTTGTATATTAATTAATATGCATTCAAATTGTCGATTCGGAATTTTATTAATATACAATATTAACTATGTTTGGAAGCAAGCACACCTTCTATATCTACGTAGAGGCTAGCTATATGGCTTTGCGAGTTTCCAACTTTGTTTTTTTGAGGGCGAAAAAAATCTTTTAATACTCGAGCTAAGCCTATTGCATTCGACGCAAAGTTTTAAAAATAAGTTACATTAATTATATTGTAAACATAATGCATTTTTTTATAAATTTATATTTTACATTAATTCGTCGATGGTGATGATTTGTTGAACTTTCATTTTTTCTGTAACATAATAAATTTTCTTTTCTGCTGCGATCTCTATAAACTGTTATGGCAAAGCAACAGGAAAAGGCATTGAAGGATGAGAACAACATGCTAGCAAAGAAGGTATATTAACTTAGCCCTATTTCATCCAGAACTGAAACAATTCGTGCGTATCTCTCATTTAATTATTCACAGAAGAATGAGTAGAAATTGGGTTTGATTGTATTCATTTGTGTAGTTGAAGGAGAAGGAGAAGTCACTGACAAATGGCGTGGGTCCCCGAAGTAGGCAGCAAACCCTACGCCAATGTCCATTCAACTTCAACGTTTCTCCACCGCAGCTACCACCGCCACCACCGCCACCTACTCTAACTCTCGGGTACACACACACACACACACTCACATCTTTCTCCATCTGTCTCTCAAACACACACACACACACACACTTGTACACAGAAAATAAACTTATATTTCTGCGAAGTTTTGTTTCACTTGTTTCCACTGGATCCATAGGGTTATAGGAGCTATATATATATATATATATATATATATAAAGACGGATTGAGTAGATGTTGCAAGATGTTTTCTGACAGCATTTCCTACTTAATTTATGTGATATTTATGGATAAATTACGAATAATTTAGCACACACACGCACAGATGCACAGTGAGCAACTAACACGGTTACTAACTGATGCCAATCATTAATTATTCTAGCTGGTAGAGAATGTGCTTTATTATGTGTAATTTGATGAAGATATTTGGTAGATAGACAGTGACAAGTACTTTAACTGCGCAGTGGAGCTTGCGGAGAAGGAGGAGCGATGTTGCAAGGGGATGATGACGCTGAAGCTGAAGCTGAAGCTGGACCCAATAACAGCGTCGTCATGCCACCTTGGATGATGTTTCATCACATGCCTAGCTCTTACATTTGAGATCTGAGAGAGTCCTGTGTATATGTAATCTGTGATATATGAAGCTGATTAATATCAAAGGGGAACATCTGAAATATATGGTGGGAGTAGCTATGTTTTCATATTTTGTGTTGTGTACTGTAAATATAGAGGCTGTGCCTTTAAGTAGTTGGGAAATGCAGCCTGTGGATCTCTTGTTAGGCCTAGCAAGGCTAGGGCTTCCCTTGGTATGTGCTCTTCTACGTTATTTATTATCTTTGCTCATCCCAAATCTTCATTCCCCTTCCCTTCCTGTCACTCATCATTTCCCATTATTTTCTTTCTCACGGTCGTTTTTTCTTTTATTTTGCAACAATATAATAATACTTAATTACTAACAATTGTGTATAGGCTATAAAATAGATATATGATGAGAATTCAGTATACACCCTGAGAATACAGGCGACTTGGATTTTGGGACTCGTGATTTTCAAATCAAATTAAAAAATTGATAAAATTTATTATAAAATTAAAAATGTTATTGACAGTTGAAACTTGAAATTCAAGCTGGAGGCATATCCATATATTTACGATAAAATTAAACTTTACATCTGTTTTATGTGTGCCGAAGGAATCAGAACAGTACAGGTTTCTAAAAATTAAAAAAGTCTTTATAATTAAGATAAATAAATAGGAGGTCAATATATTTTTACTTAAAAAGCACAAAATAGATGAGTATACTTTTGCCTTCCCATTACGAATACAATATTCTTTTTTTAACATAAATGTTTTCTTTTAAGTGTCCTTTATTGGCCCCTCATTGTAATTTTCTCCTCTTTATTTTAAAATGTGCCGTGTCCCGACCGTGACTGAAGCTTAGGGCTAAAGATAATGAGCTGAATTTGAATATATCCAAAAATCACTGTAAGGTTCATAATTTTATGCGGTTATATGCCATTTTTTGAAGTTATTTTTGTAAAGTTGGAAATAACGAGCACCCGTTTTTATCAAAACAAATTTTATTATAATTATGGTGAAGTTTTATTTATTTATTTATTGCCACCAATTTATTTATCTATCTTATTGACATTTATTTCCAAAAAAAATAGAATTAAAAATAAATAGAATTTAAGTTTAAATTATTAATATATTTTTTTAGTCCTTAATGTAAAATCTAATTAATTAATTTGAATACATTAAAAATATTTTTTAAATTAGTTAATATTATATGTTTTTTCTAAAACACTCTAGGCCTCTCCTTTAATTTTTTCCTTTTTTTTTCTCTTGATTATTGTTAAAAAAATTAATAAAATTAATGTGAGAAAAAAATGAATCAACATCAATTTAAGGGGTGTATGAATAGAGACAAAATCATAATTTTAAAAATACTTTTACAGTATATAAAATAAATATATAAAAGAATTTACTCAATTTATAAAAAAATATTTTTAAAAAGTGATTTTGCGTCACCAAAAACCGTCTTGGTTCTTACGTTTAATAACCTAAACAGTCACACTGGGAGTAGGGATTGGGAAATCAATATGCAGTTGATTGAAATTGAGATTCTCAATCCTTCTAAAAGCCTAACGGGTCGACAAAAGCCGAAGCTTGAGCTTCTTACTTTGTCGGGGTTGGTGAAGAAAGCGTCAAAACATGGACTTCCTAACTTATTTCTGAAAATTTTTCTTTTTCGCTGATGCCCGAATCCCTTTTTCCTCAAACTGGCCAGACTTTTGGACTTTCGCGCTGCTCTCATCCCTCAGTTCATCTCAAAACTCCAAGCCTCCCGGGTATTTTTACTTTTTGTTCCATTCGCTTGTTTTTATCTCAATTTAATCCGTTTTCTTCATCCTCGCTTCATGGGGTTTTCTAATTTATAGGCACTTTCATCGTAGATGTTTGCTAATCGAACAGAACTATTGCATTCTTTTCACACTCTGAGCTTCTTCATTGATGGATTTCGCTAATTTTTGCGTGTCCTGTCTGAATCTGATGTTATCTGTAGGGGAACTGCAGATACAGCAGGATCATGGCGAATACTTCCAGTGCTAGCACTCAGAAGAAGCTTGTTAAAATTGATATTAGTTCTGACTCTGTATGCCCATGGTGCTTCGTTGGCAAAAAAAATTTAGATAAAGCCATTGCTTCTTCTCAGGAGAAATATGACTTCGAGGTTCTACACTCTGAATTTGTCTGTGTGTTTGTGTGTGTGTGTGTCTTATGGTCAAGTTTCCATCAATATGCCTTGCTAATCAAATGTTTTTAACTCAAATTTACAGATAAGATGGCATCCTTATCAACTCGACCCCGATGCTCCAAAAGAAGGTGTGGACAAGAGAGAGTATTACAGAAGAAAGTTCGGATCTCGATCAGAACAGATGGAAGCTCGGATGTCAGAGGTTCTGTAGCTTTCGTTTTTTTGTGCATAGTCCCTTTTTCAGTCACACATGTTATTTTCTTGCTATTTGTTTTTTATCATTCACGTGAACTAGTCATTTTACAAATGTGGTATTTGCAGGTTTTTGAGAAAGTAGGCCTGGGATATAACATGTCTGGACTAACGTAAGCTGAGGAGTGGTTTAATTTAATATTTTTTCAATGGACCACAATCATTTTTCTTGTTGAGATTCAAATTCAACTAATACTGTCATAATCATTCACAGGGGAAACACTATGGACAGCCATAGGCTTATATATTTTGCTGGACAGCAGGGCTCAGACAGGCAACATCGCCTTGTAGAAGAATTGTTTCTGGGTTACTTCACGCAGGGAAAATACATTGGTGACCAGTAAGTGCATCTGGTGTATGTTCCCCTCGTTTTTGTTTCGTATATATGCTGTCATACTTCATCAGGTGTTACATTATTTTGATTTTTGATGGATGATTAAACCTGTGTATGATTCATCTGAACATGTCTTTGTTTTGGTCACTGCTGTAGACGAGCATGAATACTACTAAATGGCTTCTCTAAAAGCTTGTGTGATTTGTATAATGTCCAAGGATAAGGAAAGAAATGGATGCTCAGTATGAAACTAGCATGTAAACTAGGCCCACAACCTCAATACAGCTTGATTTAGGGTGGCTATATTTTTCTCTGAATGTGGTTTCTTGTTGAAGTTACGTTTGGATTTGATGAGAACAGAGGAGAATATATGGAAAAGGAAATTTTATTTGGTCATTTCCACTTTCCTTTCCCTTTCTTCATCATTTTCCTTAATCCAAACATACCTTAAGTGATATGCGTAATCATTCATTCATTTTGTTGCTTGGTCGTAGTGATTTTCTTCTGGAATGTGCCAAGAAGGTTAACTTAGAAGGGGCAGCTGAGTTTCTTCAAGACTGGAACACTGGGCTTAAGGAGGTACTTTCCATATGCGCGCGCACACGCACGCATATGTTGATTCCTTCATGATGCATTTGGTTTCAAATTCTTACATTCACTACATAGCAAGCCCCATGTATTGCACAAAGCAAATCACATTATTCACGAATTATGAATAGTGCTACTCACAATAAATTATACATGTTTGTGTGTGTATATCGATGATGCATGAGATTTGAATTTCTTGTGCAATAGTTTTAAACTCTTTTTTTTGCCTTTAGTTGTTGGGCAAGCAAGTATTCAAATTTATAGTCGTCAGTTAAACGTAATGATATAACTGTGTCGTTTGTGACTGACCAGGTCAAGGAGGAGCTTAATACACACTCTGGAAATGTCAGGGGAGTTCCATTCTATGTGGTGAGTGTATAAAATTCCACTCTTTTTCTGGTTTCAGATTCAGAATATTGATTTCTTCTTCTTCTTCTTGGGATAGATTAATGGAAGTTGCAAGCTTAGCGGTGCTCAGCCCCCTGAGCTCTTCTTGAAAGCTTTTGAATACCAACAGTAGCGTGTGCGACATCTGCAGGTTTATACAGTGATGCTGCGGAATAAAGACGAAAAAACTCTAATATTATACTGTCTGCAGACTCCTTAGGAAGATTACGTTTACTCCTTCTTACCGCTCCATATTTCTTGTCTTGGTCTATCCAATTCAGCCTTACATCCTTCAAATTCCACCATTTCCTATGTATGATCTATTTTCTTTTGCATTTGTAGCCGTACTGTATTGGATAAACTTTTTTGGCCAAAAAATTGACTTTGGCTATATATGAATGAAAAATCTAAAATTATAGGATCTTGCGAAAATATATAATTTTTCTTTAGTGTCAACATAAACATCTTTAGAAAACTAGCTATATAGTACAATCTCCCCTCAAGCGTCTTATCATGAACATGAAATAAGGTGTCTAATTACATGGGGAAAAAAGTAGCAAGAATATGTACGTGTTTGTGAAGAAATCTAGATTGATATCTATATTGAATAATAATATCATATGGAGCTTTCACCTAAATATAATATTTCGCGCCGTGAGGAGAGAATGAAATCCCAACACATGATGGTACATACAAATACAACACAATATATTTAAGATCGTGTTCAAGAGCTGTCTTCCATTCATACAAGTCTTCTGACGTCTCATCCTAACATTTGAGAAAACAATGAAGAATTTGTATAACCAGACAATTTCAAACGGCAATTAAAAGTAACGACAACTCAATGTCCTTCCTTTATATAGAAATTTAATAGCAAATGAAGAACCTTAAGAGTGAATGCTCACCCATCATGTCCATCGGGAAACAATACAGTGAGCAGTTTCTTGACTTCTCTAACAACAACACTGAAAGATAAAACTCACATTATAAAACAGATCATCAGAATGCTATATAAAGAAGATTTCAACAACAAAAGCTTACCTCCCTGAATTTTTTAAGTCAATACCACCCAATGTCATATTTACTTCACCACCTTTCTGTAAAAGATAGACAAAGCAGCAAAGACATTGAGAGTCTAAGCTGAAGAACAAAAATAGACCCCTCTATTTATTTTTATACACTTTAAGATTAGGCAACAAATGACATAAATGTCAATGTGCCTCTTAGAAGCATATTACATATATAACCTCAAATACCAAAGAAAGTACATCTATTTACATTAAAAAAAATTGTCATATTGCAAGTAAGCCACTTAAGCAATTCCCAAGGATCACAAGGCATGCAAGAATAACTAAGGCAACTTTGCATGCCAAATTCAAGCCTCTAAATCAATCTCAATTCATAAGGAAGCATCAATCTCAATTTTCAGGCATCAATCTTAATTTTCCCACATTGGTAAGTAGGCATCAATCTTAGTTTGTCCACATTTGTCAATAGGCATCAATCTTAATTTCTCACATTCTTAAATAGGTATCAATCTCAATTTCCCACATTCATAAGGAGGCATCCATCTCAATTTTTCCACATTCGTAAATAGCATCCATCTTAATTGTCCAGCCTTCATACATAGGCATCAATATCAACTTTCCCACATTCATAAATAGGCATCACTTTTGATTTATCGCATAGGGAAATAGGCATCAATCTCAATATTCCTACATTCGTAAATAAGCATGATCTCAATTTTCCCACATTCTTAAATAGGAATGCCAAAAGCTATTGAAGAGGACAGATGTAAGCACATAATAAATTGTGACAATGTTTAGCAAGTTTAAAAATCTTTCCTACCCAAAACTAGGGGGAAAGATGAGGGGAAACTAACAAGGGACGCCAACCATATATATAAAAACACTGTCCAATCCTATATTTTGAAGTAAAAGAAAACAATACAGGTATTGAAGTGAAACATTTCATAACTACTTTGAAACTTCATATCTTGCCGGTCACTTGGCACATTATGCAAGATTTGAAAGAAAGCAACCGCGCTGGCAAAAAAAAAGAAAGAAAACAACCACATCTGACCTATGTCTTCTTCCTGATTGTGTAGCCGTTCAATTATGTTCTAAAACTTTAAAGATAGAGACTTGGATCAATATTGTAACTTTGAAGAATGTCAAGAATAAAGCTTGGTTGCCCACCTCAAAACCCCTAGTTTCACAATTTGTAAATTCTTAGTCAACAGACACCAACAAAGAAAAGTATAAAGGGTTAAAAAGAGAAACAGTAACTGTATAACAAGCTGGTCAATTCACAGTTAAACTGCCAGCAGTAAGATTGATTGCCGAGCAAAGATGATGAATCCTTTGGTCCTGCAAGTTCCTTCCATCTCCATCCTCAAATCCGACCATCATTGTGTTATTTTTTTTTCATTGCGAAAATCCAAGTACAAAAGAAACATAGAAAAATAAAGACCAAAAGAGTTACCTTTAGTCGACACCATGGATAAGCGAAAAAGAAACTTTGCCCGTCAAATCTTCTTGAAGGCATAACCGATGTTTTTAGTTATGTAAAACAAAGGCACCAACAACATCAAATGACAGGTAAGGTGCCTGTGCTTGAGAGGTAGAAGTAGTGGCCGACTCTAGAGTTTCCACTGAGGGAGAAAGAGCACCTTTTTGAAGGAACATAATCGAACTCGAAGACGCGAACCGGACCACCAAAGACCCGAGCTGAAGTACAGTAGAGTGACGGCGGCGACAATGCAGTCTGAAAATACAAGAAAACGTCGGCGCTATTTGAGAAGGAAAAGGAGGGAAGGAGAGAAGCAAGTAGCGCGCGAAGAGTTGGGGAGGGAAAATTGCAGAAAAGCTCTGCGGAGGAGGTCGGCATCTCAAAATGACCGTTGGGATCAGGGTTGGGGTGTAAGTCTTTTGTTTTTTTTTGGGGTCCAAGTGGCAGTTCAAGCCCAAAATAAATATGAAAAAATTATAAAAAAGACCGTTAAAATTAAAAAATTATATACAAAGACTCATTCATAAAAATTATTGTCAAAATATATATTAATATTGTAACATGTTTCTATTTGTAATTTTTTTATTTTGACGGTCTTTTTTTACAATCTTTAATATAAAATCCATTTTATAATACAAATTAAATTATAAAATATGTCTCATATTAAAAATGAGAAGAGTATTCACAAATTATAATTATAATTTTTTAAACAAAGTATAGTTCTTAACTAAAAAGTAAGTTTTGTCAGGAAAAAATGTAGGGTTTTTTGGTTTTTGTTTCGCAACTACACCCATTTTTCAGAATTTTTTTTTAAATAAGATATAAAGAATTAAATATATTTGCCGACGAAAAATTACACATGTAATGAATTATATTTTTGTAATAATAATATTATCTCTTATAAAGTAGAATATTTATTTTTTGGCCAGAAAAAATCATATTTATTCTTATTATCTCTTAAAAATATATATTTTTACAATGTATCATTTATTTATTTTTAAGAAATTTTATAACTGATTAGAGATCATGCGAAAAAATATTTTACATAAAATAATATTATAAATATAATACGCATACTAAATTATACTCCTCCGGTCCTTAATATAAGACCCATTTAACTAATTTGATTAAATTAAGGAAGTTAGGTAAGTTAGTTAATTATAAGAAATGTGACACGTTTTTCCTAAAACACCATAATCATCTTTCTTAATACCCTCTCTCCCCTTTCTACTTGATTATAGTTGAGGGAGTATTCATAGGGGTAATTTAGAGAACATTGATAAATATGAGAAGTGGGTCTTATATTTAGGACCAAAACCAACTCAACAATTGGGTTCTATATTAAGGACCGGAGGAGTATATGATATATTTCTTGTCATGAAAAAGATTAAAAGAAAAGAAATAAATGTTCAGTATGGAAGTAGCACGTGAGCTAGGCCCGCACAGTGTGATTGAGACGATGGCTGTATTGTATTTCTTTGGATATGGTTTCCGAAGGTGTGGTTAGATTTGACGAGAACAGAGAAGAATATATGGAAAGGAGAATTTGATTTAAACATTTTCACTTTCCTTTTGGAATGTACTGGGAAGGTTGGCTTGGGGGGGGGGGGGTAGCTAGCTGAGTTTCTTCAAGACCCCAGCAATGGCTTCAAGGAGGCATTTTTCCCTCACACACATAATATGAAAACTCCTTCAAGCAGCAGTTTGGTTTCAAATGGTTACTTGAATTTACTGCTCACTAAGGAATTTGAATGAATGTACTGAAATCAAAATAAAGATTCTGTTAATTTTCTGTCTCAGAATATGCTCAGCACTCTTCAAGCATATTGATTCATTGAATGAAGTGGCAGATTAATGGGAGTCGCAAAATCAGTGAAGTTCAGCCACCTCAGGTGTTCATGAAAGCTTTTGAATTTGAAGAGTGAAGTTCCATATGCATCTCCAAGTACTGCTTCTGAATAAGGAGAAAGCCAAAGCAAATATGTATCAGGAGACAAACAGGCAAATATGCAACGTCCTTTGCATAATCTCATCTCTCTTATTTTACGTTTTCCCCTGATTCATAATAGTAAACGGAATGACCTTGGGTCTGCTATTTAACTCCAAACCGCAATCCTTAATTTCTACATCTCTCTTTGTGCTTCTTTTCCCTTTATCATATACTAGTATATACGTATGTATAACGATTGCTATCACTTCACCTAAAAAAAATGATTGCTATTGTTGTACACTGACAATATCATAACAAACACAAACGTAAGGCAGTTTGACAAGGAAAGAAGTTTGGTCAAACTACGTCGTGATGAGCAATATTTCTTTTTCAGTTTAGTAAAAATTTATGATGATCTTACCCCACTATGAATTAAGGAATGGAGGTTAATTGAGAAATGATCACGTTTAGAACAGAGAATGACATTTTTATTTTCCCCCTAAGCATTACCTGTTCAGGAGACGGAACATGGCGCGTGGCCCAGACAGCCTTGTGTAGATGTATTGTAGTCACTTCCATTTATGGGCGATCATGTTTACATTTGACGTCTCAAAATTATTACTACTCTCGTTTTTAATGTAAAACTCACGTTGTAATTCAATTTATACTACTACCTCCGGTCTTTAATATAAGACCCCGTTTGACTTTTAGTTTGGTCCTAATTATAAGACCCCAATCCATTTTGTCTTTCATATTTATGCATTTTTTCCCAAGATAGTCCTTCTAATAATGATAGTTCTAACCAACACACTTAATTAGCAATGATAATTTAGAAATGACAACACTTATTTGTTACAAATAACTAACTTAACTTACTTCCTTAATCTCCTCAAATTAGTCAACTGGATCTTATAATTAGGACCGGAGGTAGTATAAAATAAGTTTCATATTAAGGTCTGAAAGAATATTAAACTGTTCATGTTTTAAGAATAAAAATATATTTTTATCCGTCTAATATCTATGGTTAAAATCTTGAAAATATTTTATTAAAAATTAAAAAAAAAATCTACTGCCATTAGTGACCCACAAATATAATTTTCTCTTGAACCCGGTTCATTTCCTGATCTTCTACCAGCAGGAATCCAACCAAACACTGCAAACTAATTGTAGTGAATTACATTGATTATAGTCCCTCTAAATAGAAAGGAGAAAGGAAGCTAAACCGTCAAACCCCAACGAAATCACTAAAAGCCTTTACAACCAAACTCATCTCGAAACTATGATAGGCTGAAAACTCGCGAGCTTGTTACCACAAAAACCCAAAAGCAAGGACATTTCTACTGTAAAGGCTAAACTTCGAAACCATAACGAAGTTTAAATCCCAAATTGCATTTTCCTTTTCCAAATTTGGCCAGAAGGGGAAGGAATGAAATGTCAAAACATCTTACGATGAGATTCAGCGTACAATAATGGTTAAGAAAACTCGTATAATCACCCACTGTACATAAAAAGCACTCACCCTGCGATATTCACAATGTCTACTTATAATGTTCCTTTCCTCTGTAGTTGGCTTCATCCACATCACAATCTTTATGTTCAAACTTAAGTTGTTTCATCAAATACCATCACCTACACCAAAGCCAAAGCATAAGTAAACAACCACTCCGTTTTAGATCATTCAACTATTAACTTGGTTCTATTGTAGTACTTAAGCTCATATATCATGAAGACACGTTTCCAGCAGCTGGAGAATAATGTTCAACCATATCCTCTCAAGCCAGGCTTGGCTCAAACACCAGTTGGATCGGTACAAAAATAATATGATAAACCATAAAAGATTGTATGGGTGTTAGTGTAAATATATAATACAAAAACATGGATGGGTAAATTCACACAAAAAAAACTGTACAGTTGAAGATGATGAGCCAAACAAATTGTAGCAGAGAAGACAGAACAGAAACCCGCTTTAAAGGCATTTGAGCATTCAATTTTCATTGGTTCAACTTCACTCTCACCTCTCAACTATCTGAACTGGCTCCGTCACGGATTTAATTGTATACCTAGAAACTTTCCTATAAGCACTTCGAAAAAGATAAAATTTGGGAATATGACTTAATAATAATACTACTACTATCAAGAACAAGACTTCAAAAAGGAAACTACCCCTTCAAGCATGCTAATAATAACAGACACAGAGACGGCCTAGTATTATTCATGTTGAGGGATGTATTGGCAACATGAAGGGACCCGACCTACTGATCCAACTAATTTGCAGCATTCTGAGTTGTCAGAATGCTGCACATCACTGTTTACTACATAAATTGCATCTGCAATTCAAACCAACGATGCCACAAAAACAATCCAACCTACAATCAGTCATTGCACTCCCAAATGGAAACAAACCGTGCATTATGAATCATGTTTTGCACAATTCTGGCAAATGCCATGAGAAGTACAGGCAGTAAACAAAAGTTTCAAATGCTGATGCAAATTACGTTGATAGTTCTAAACACAGTTGATTACAGAGCTTGGCAATCTCTTTTTTTTTTTTTTTTTTTCCTGAGCTGAAACAGAGCTTGGCAATCTAATTCTTTGTAATCTGGGAGAATTCTAATTTTGACAACAAAACCACACAAAAAACTGACAAACTAAGCCCAGCATGAGCCAGTATCTCCGTTAAATGCAATATGAAAATCACCAAATTAACCTCAATTCTAGAAGCTTCCCAACTATTCACAAGCAAATCGTTGCATACAGCTATAATAGAGCAGTAGAGGCAGTTAAAAGAAGTTGATGGTGAGAGAAAACGAAATAGATAAGATAGAGTGTAATAATGTAGGATCCTAAGTAAACTATCACGGAATTGAGACAGCCTTCAGATTCCTTTTATTTTTATGCCTAGATAACAAGAGGCCATAAGCAGCTGAATAGCAAACATGTTCGGTAATTGCAATTATCAAGCTTCACAGAAAACTTTGACACACAACATGCTAATTGATGATGAATTGACAACCACTTCAGTCAGAAAGAAACTAGAAATTATCAAGAGAAAAAACTACCTTCCCACAAACTGGACAGCTCTCACTTCTCTCCATCCATTCGTAAATGCAACTAAGATGAAAATGATGATTGCACTTTGTCAATATCCTTGGGTTCTCTTCAGTGTATTCTGCGAACAAAAATTAACAGCATAAATATGAAACGCCATTAAAGGCCCTCTTATCT